CTCACACCATCACAGATTCTGCACTTACTTCAGCAGAGCTGCCCGACCCGGCAAGGTACCCTACAGCCCTTTCAAGGCCTGGGGACTCCCAGTTCAGTCCACAACAACTCACAGTAAATGGTATGGCTAGGAAGAACATTAAACTTTAACAAACTGGACCACTGGATCCAGTGACCGCTGCAGGCAGAGGACCATCGTTCCTTTATTCCTCCATCACTCTAGTCCTATTCATGATGATATTGTTTTCAATTTGAGAAAGAGAAATCAAAACTGTCAGAAAAACTGCATTTGATATCAATAAAACTAAGCGGTAGCACCTTAATCAACATTAATCTGTGTGATCAGTTGACATCAGTGAGCTATTTTTTACATGAGAAACGCCCAGAGAAGAAAACAAGCTTTTTAATGGTAGTGTAGGTAGTATTTTGCGTATAAATCTGCTCAGGATTTGTGGGTCTCTCTCAGATATGGTTGAAATCCCATTTGAAGTCATTTTCCTAATCTGTTGCACACATTTGAATTCTGATTATGAAGTTCCCCCTCAGAGCCCTTCGGACTAGATAGAGTTTTTGCATCCTTTTAGTTCTGCAGTTTGGCAACAGAGAGCAAGCTCCTGTTTCTATGCAGAAAATATGCAAATGCGCTTTAAGGCTCATGACAGAAACCCTGAGGGTTTGGCATCCCTTTCAAGCTGTTTGTCAGATATCAATGAACAGCTTTCTAAAAATCCGTTCCCTTAATGTCAGAAAAACTAACTAGCCTTTTCCCTGATTTGAGCATCAATGGTTTAGTGCCTGGTCCCTTCTTTACAATGCTCCAGTCAGGGTGATCAAATCCTATTATAACTTTGCCCTATTTATAACAAAACAAATCTTACATACAACAAAGACGATGTATTAAATTTCAAAGAATGTTGCCAGAGCTGAATTATAGAAAGAAATTAATCTCGAGTTACTTTCATCCTGCATATATTATCGTCATTCCTTAGCACCCCAAACAGCTTATCAACCTTCAAACTGGCTATTTACTATTTTAGCACAAATTGAATACTAAGGGTATGTAACTACCTTTCTCAGATGTCAGCAAGTCAGCAGTGAGCAAGGAGGCAAGCGTGCTCGTCACTCTACTTGGCATTAACCACGGAGTTAACACTCTGTATTCATTACTGGGAACAAATTTCTAATAATTGCCACCCTGTGTGCCAAAAGGCATCCCACACCAAGAGAGAAAAAGGCAAACAGTAAAAAAGATTTACTTTTAACATTCTCTGTGGTGCACAATGACAACCCAAGGCTTATGTATGACCTAATCTTCTACAGCCTGGGAGAAGGCATTGGTCAGAGGGAAACAGTAATGAGCACATTTTGTAGTGAAGTAATTAAACAACCTATCTGGGAGAAGGACACATAGGATCAAACACACTGAACACTGCATTAAATGTAGAAATAGTTCTCATAGCAGGGCAGCAGCCTAGGGCTCCCCTCATCAAGGGAGGTTCATCTTAAATCAAATTTTATTTTGTTTCGCCCAGTTTACTGTCAAGTGACACAGTTTTAAAACCAGAGAGTCCTCCCACTCCAGAAGAGCTTATACCCAAGTGCTAAGATAGGTTCTTGAGATGTAGCAGGATATGTGCATGTGAACCACCTTGCACAGAGAGCACTCGCGAGCACTCCCCATACTCTGAGGGAATTCTCCTTTCTTTGAGCTACTGGAGAAAGGAGCCTGCTCCTCCTGGCATGACTTTTAATGACACAGACTGTTGTATTTCAAGATGTCAGTTTTCCGTGTATGCATTAAATATGCCTCAGAGTCCCCTCTTAGGCTTGGAAATACATCCAATTCCACTTACACATCAAAGGGTCACCAGAGCCGCCAGGTTGGCAGCCACCCGGCCACGTGCAAATGCAGCGCTGAGGCTTCTGAAGACTGCGTTCTGGGACTTCACCATCTACTGGACTTATCTCACTAAATCTGGATGCCCATAATGTAGATGCAGAGGTATCCTCACCATCAATGCAGGTAAAGTCAAAAGAGTCTGGGTATCCTAGGATAGAGACTCCACTTTTCCTAAAGCAGATGCCTAAAAGCAGTTAAGATTAAGCACGCCCCAAAGCCACCAGTTCCTCTTCAATGATAAAGGGCCCTGGGTGATCAGTTAAGTTCTAGAAATCTCCACGGTAAATGTCTCAGACTGGGTGAGAAGAATCCTGTATGCTCCCAGCAGTTCCTTTTAGCTTGTCAGTGTATGAAACAAGATCTTGGAAAGACCATTTACATTCATCTTAAAATAATAATGGTGTCTGCACAAACTTCTCTGCTATACAGAACACACGCAGAACTACTCCACTAAGCTTATCACATAGGTAGTAACATCTCACGACCATTTCATTAGTGGCAGCGGTAAGCACATAAGCATGGAAGATGCAAACAACAGCGTTTTACCCTCGACTGGACTAAAAGCCATGCAAGTACTTTTATAGGTACAAGCCAATAGACTTATTACAGTTTTACAATAAGCTACAAGGTCTTTATCAATGATCAGTATCATATTTGAGCAGGTATTTTTTCGAACCATTTATATGAGCACTTAACAGCAGAAACAGCCACAGGCATCTAAAAAGGTTTACTACAATTGCAGAACTAATAAATTGATACTTGCCAGAGTAATAAAACCACAGAGTTACAGAGGTACAAAGAGTGGCAACACATGTACATAGCTTGGACTAAATATAAGAAAAAATAAGCATGAAGTGCCCAATGTATAATTAATAAAACAGAAACAAAGACAAAGAAAATTATGATGGTGCACACTTTTTATAAGCAGAAAAAGAAAATAAGATATAACATCTCCCTCCTCTTAAACCCTGTTATTTATATCTCCTAGAATAGCACCTTGTCTGTATGCTGTCACCAAGGTCATCTAAAAAGAAACCTAAGTTTCCAAATCCGGTAGGAGATAAAAAAGCCTACAGATTTTATTGTTTTTTGGTGTTTGGGGGATTTTTACATGCTGTTCATTCACTAGGCTGCACTAGAGTAGAACTATATTCACCACTTCATGAGCCTCAAAGTCTTTCCTGTTTTGTGATTTCCTGTGTTGCCCTTTTCATTATTATCTCCATTGCAATTACCAAAGAGGTTCATTAAATAGTTACATATGGCAATCGTCATCCTATATAACTAAGTATAAATAATTGATTCATTAATATACTTTTCTAAAATAAATAGGCAGCATCTAGTATTTGTAGATGCTGTACATGTATTATTCATATGCCTTCATAAAGAACCAGTTACTCTTG